CGATTGGTGTAGTTTGACACTAGCCTAAGGCAGTTCTTTTCAGAGCTGTCAATACGGTGGTGATTGGCTGCATCAAGGAGTGTATCAAGACTATGGTGGATTGACAAAGGATTCATCACTCCCGGGTAAGGGAGAAAGTTATCTCACGGCGCAATTCAGTATATGGCAATGACATTAAAACTGTGGCCACAGTGGGATTGAGTTGTTGCTCTATCCAGTTTATAATACGGGTCATTGGTCCAGAAACTGAATAAATAATATCGAGAGTAACCGAAGGTTGACACTATTTCTATGCCTTCGTCTCGTCGAGATAACGTATGATGAAATGATCGAATTATACGGTAACCATATCGTTGACAGGTAGCTACTTTGCTGAATCCGAATCTATCGAGTGGTCATGATGCCTTGCTAGGGGCCAATCTTGGTCTATGTATTAGTGATATGATTGATTGGTGTTAATCACGATACTATACACTGCCGATATGATGAGGAGCCTATGGGTCACACACATAGAAGACAATTTAAGATCCAAGAAGAAAGAATTGCGTTTTCGTCTTTTAAGGCGAAGGGGTATTTTGGTAATTTTACAGTGCAATTAAATTTGCTAAGGTCGTAGCCTTTATTTAATTTGTTAAAAAAAAATAAATAAGTGAAATTACGTTTAAATATGTGTTCGTACATATTTAAATATATTATCATTATTGTTAAATGTTAATATATATATTTAAATATATATTAATTGATTTTAATTGAGATAATGATAGAAAAATAAAATACTAATTGGGAGTGTTTGACAACATAGGACGTTTGGGTTGGACCCCAAGCCTATTTTGTATGGGATTAAGGCAAATTGATTAACTATAAAAAGAAAAGTGTGTGTGTTAATTAATAATTTAATTGATTTCTTTTTGAAATTAAAAACACACAGCAGCCACTCCAAAACACTCCCACGGCAGAAACATTTTTTATCAAAAATCAATTCAATTGATTTGTTTTCTTCTTAATCTTAAAGCCAAAGAGGATCTAGCAAATCTCTCTTTGATTCTTTTTGAGATTGTCTTCATGTGGACTACACAGGTTTGATCCTACACTTGGATCGGTAGCAAAACATTCGTCGACAAATTTGGAGGAGCCTCCAACGTGCGTTTGTTTTCTTTAAACTCATCTGTATTTTTCCTGCAGATTTTATTTAATATGAATTGTAAAATTATACCCTTGATTTTGGCTCATGTAAACGATCTTGTTATATTATTTTTGTTCCGCTACATATACGGGACCGTTTACTAACACTAATCGCATCACATTTTCTCTCGTATTCTTTTGATTCTTTATTGAATTTTTTAGGCTTTATTCGTAATTGACAACAACTCAATTTCTCATCAATTTAATAACACTATACCAACAGTAAACCAACATAACTATGCAATAACAAAAAATCCAAAAAATCCCAGCTTAAATAATCAAAAGAAAATCACCCCATCTCACGAGCAACATAACCATCAACCATGGACAAATTAATGAAGATTCTTCAATAAACAAAAACACAGGTAATTAAAAAAAATACTTGTGAACTAATTTATTTTGTAGAGTACAAAACATTGAGATATTTATTTCGTTGGATTTATGTTATAGTCTAATTTAAAAAATACTTATGTTATGGTCTAATTTAAAAAATACTTTACTTTTTGTGTTAGCTAAATAAAATGTTCATTTGTGAACTATCTTAACCATGTTTTAGGTTCCTTAAATATTATTTACAAAGAATATAATAATATAATAAATAATAATATCATTACTCCTAATTAAATGGTGTTCTCTCAATTCTTACAACCACATAATTATGACAGCTTCCTCTTCATTGACTCCGAAGTCAATTACATAGTATGTGTACAACTTATCATGAGTCATTTCTATCACATTTTCATTTGTTGTTTCCTATATATCTTGTATATGAAATGATAACAGTACCCCCTAGGTTTGCTAATTTAACTAAACACCCTAATATATAAAAATTTTATAAAATGACAAAAACATCCCACCACCCATAGTGCTAGATTTCGGCCACCACCGTCGGAATCTAGCCGAAAAATTGTATAACGACACATACTGGTCGAATTTGGCAGGTATGACGTCGATATGACATTTTCCAGCCAGATCTACGACTAGATGTGGCTGTCGACAGCCGTAAAAGCCCATCTTTGCCCATTAGCAATGGCCAAAGATATGACCGTCATTAACGACCAGATCTGGCCTTTTCCTACCGGATCCACTATGGATTTGGTCAGAAAATACCAGATCGATGAATTATCGATCAGTTTCAACTGTGGTATATGCCGTTATGATAGATTCTGACTACCACCGATGACGGTTGCCAAAATCTGACAAGTATGGATTGATAAGGGTGTTTTTATTAATTTTTAAATTTTTTTAAGGTATTTATAAAATTAATAAATTTAAAGGATATAAAAATAATTAAAAATTAATAAACTAATTACACATTAATATTTTTATGCCACCATTTTTCAGAAAGGTCACACCATAAATGGCCACCATTTGAGTGGCTATAAAATCTGTAGACTTGACTTTATGTGCACCAAGAACAGGAGCTTTTAAGAAATGGCCAACTGGGTACATGTATAATTAATGGATATGCAGTTATTAAGTGAATTAGTGGCTTTTCCAACAATATGGAAAGAGTCTTTGCACCAGTATCCACCATAGAATGGTCTTTTTTTTTCTTTTTTTTTTTTTTTTTATGATCTGGATGTTCAGATCAGCTTACGTACGGCTTAACTAATTTCTCGGGACCTTGAAATGAACGACCAGATAAATCCCTTCAATGGTCATCCCTATTAGTTTCTGGAGAGACTTAAACTCAGAAACTCATATTGGATCTCTTTATTCTTTTATCATCAGGTCATCTAATTGTGCTATAGAAGGGTTATTATCATGGACTAAGAAAAAAATTTGCTATGAACAAAACAATCCGATCCCATACTGATTTATTAAGTTTCATGGAATCATTCTTCACTTAAAATATGTTTATTAGATTTAATCTAAATTGATACGTGATATTTTCTTAAGAAAGTTGTTATCATTTCGATATCAATACTTCACATGTATTGGAATTGGTCTCTATCATGTTACTATCTTCATCTCATCATGTTATTTATCTTCATCTAAAATAATTACAATTTTCAAACATTTATCTTGTTGTGCATGATTTTCCAATAGCTAGATTCATGCCAACTGTTTATAAACCCTACCGAGATCTAGCGTCAGAATCATCCTGCGTGTCGCTCCTATAGCAGATGACTTCTCCAACAAGCTCAATAGTACTAAGTATAGGTGTTCAGACTTAAGTATAAGCGGAAATTCATTCAAATCTTGATTATAGGGGATTATGCATGTAATCCACCCCATAATATCAACCTCCAACCATTATCAGACAGTATATATAAAAGGGAGGTCTCACCTCCGTTTTAGGGGATCGATCGATTATTATTCATACAAGCATAGGAAATCACCGAGAGAGAATCTTAGCTCGTTATTACGTGTTTCCTTCTTATAATCACTTTGGGTATACAACAAACATAAGCAATAATATAATAGTGGACATAGTTTTGGTTCTAATCCGCCGAACCATTTTAAAAATTTTTCGTGTTCTTGCATTACAGATTCACCAATTCTTTCATAACTGAATATTTATAATTATGCACACATACTACTCAATCTCAATGTGGTCGATTGTCTAATTATTGCCCGTTGTCGTAACAACATATCTTTCTAGCTATAAAATGAATTAGTTGTTATTCCTCCAATATAAAAGAAGTCTTTACACCCATATCCACCATTACATGGCAAAAGTCACAGTAAAGTTAGAAAATTCTCGCTTTATGTGTAGCGATTGTTACAATGGGAGTCCAATTGAATAGACTTGAGTCTCGTTGCACAGATTTACTTTTGAACTTTACATAATCGCGGTTCACTCAAATCATGTTTACTGGGAACCAAATCTGAAGGATTGGTCTTTGACAATTTCTTCCTTTTTCAACGTAATTAACAGAGTACTTGAAACTTGCTCCATTGAAAACCCTGATAAAAAAAATACAACCTTGATCACTTGAGGGCTAATCGTGGTTGTATCATATGGCCGCCAGGAAGGCCAATTCAGTAATTTGAGACAAAAGTTAACTGTCTCCCCACGTGGCCCCAACACTTGTACTTTCAACATTCAATGTCTGAAATAATGAAAGTACGATCCACTCATGATTCACGTTCAGAGCACGCGCCATACGTCCCTCTGCTCTTTTCATAATAATTTATGTTCTTGTGGTTTGTGTAGCAGGTAAACTTATAAAAAGTCCACATCCATTGTAGCAGTAAAAAAAACACTGAAGCAAAAGCTTCTCATTTCTCACACGAATATGAAAACAAAAGGGCCAACTGTTGCTTATTTTATTGTAATTTCTCTGTCGCATATTTTTTATGAAGAAAACAGAGAGTTTTAATATCTTTTGGGGTTTTTAAATGAACTATCCATGACGACTGTGCCTTCCAGAAACCATTTTTTTCCTCAGTTCACGAAAATCTATGATGATATACATGACAACAACATTTTATCAGAAACTTTTTTGGCTCGGTTTGTGCTAATTTGCTTTCAGCTTTAACACCCAAGGACCCCTTGGCCTCAGTTGATTGAGTTTTGGATTCAAGCATCAAGGTTGATTCATGTTTGGCTAGAATGATCTTTATTTTGCACTTAGGAAGAAGAAAAGTCAATTAATGATAGCTAAGTAATTCTATAAGACTTAGCATTCTGATAGGAAACTTGAGTTGATTGTTCACCTTCCCCTTTAACATGCTTCCTACAGCCAAATGTTCTTCTGGGGTTCAAATGCTCACTCTTTTGTTGGAAGTAAATGTTCTGTTAATGCCAAATTATCATTGACCATTTGCTATTTCTGCTTTCTGGTCAATTGCTTTTGTAGATTATCAAGATGACGGGGATGAGATTTTGTGGACTTGTTTATGCGGGGTTGTACGGTTACTTGGTGCTTTTTGCAGTTGCTCAGATTACAGATCCTTCAGAAGGTGAATCTTACTGCAAGTTTAGAGTTTTTCCTTTTCAGTTTTCTTCAATGTCTCCCAGTACTAAGTTTTGATATCTAGTTTTTCTCATCTAAAGAAGTTCTTAATGCATTTATAATACGCAATTTCTTTTCCCAGATATGTATTAATTTTCTTTTTGATTTTGCTGCACTATTCCACTTTTTATCTTGAATACCAGATGAAAATGGCAGCCGCCAATTTTGCTGCACTATTCAGTCAAATGTTTGAAGGCATACCAATAAATATGTTGCTTCATTATGTTCTGTCTATTCTTGGAATATCTTGTTTCTAAAATATTCTAATTTAACTTCCATAAATCTTGACCAAATTCTACAGCAGATGATAGATGAGATCAAATTTTGAAAATATATAACAGCACTACATTAAATTTCCGTGAGAAAAAGTGCAACAGTGAAAAATTAATCTACTAATTTATGTTTATTCCATTTGTTTTAGGTTGAAAATATGTAAAATAGTATTAAGTGTCTTATTGAAGTTCAATGTTTTGCTCCGAGAAGATGGCATACTGCTATAAGTAGTGTATGTGAGTGTGACATCTTATTTCAAGGATAATCATTTATGAAAAGAGAATTGAATTTAGGAGTTGGGCTGTGTGAATTTAGAAGTTGCCTTATCCCATGATTTTTATATTTATATTTGCTCATGTCCATTTGCAGTCAGCGCATTGGTGGCAGTCAAGAACAGATTAATTGATCCTATGAACCATCTCGGAAACTGGAACGAGGGAGATCCATGCCTATCAAATTGGACCGGAGTTTTATGTTTTGACACAATTGATGAGACTGATGGTTACTTGCATGTTCAGAATCTGTATGTCCTTTCCATACCCCTTTTCACCATTTTGATGCTTGCTATCTTGCTGTCAATGATTTTTCAAATCTTTAAATTCTAAAGATGTGACAATTAATGATACTGAACACTTATTTTCGATACAGGCATCTCCTGAACATGAATCTTTCGGGAAGTTTAGCGCCTGAGCTTGGCCAGCTATCTCGTCTTCGAATATTGTGAGGCAAAATTTACATAAGTTGGCATCTTGAGAAAACTGAATTATATCTTTTATCTTCCAAGTTAATCAATGCTTTTCTCGATTTTGTCTGCTTGCAGGGATTTCATGTGGAATGATCTGACAGGAAGCATACCAAAGGAGATAGGGAATATATCATCTTTACTACTCTTGTAAGTTATAGATGCAGGTGTTTATTAAATTATTTACATCCAAATATGATACTATTTGAAACAATATACTTTGTGTTGGTTTAATATTACGTGATGTACATGTGTGTGCAGACTCTTGAATGGAAACAGATTATCAGGATCTTTACCGGAAGAGCTAGGCAAGCTTTCAAACTTGAATAGACTCCAAGTAGATCATCAATCCATAGGCTAGTTCCATTCGGCAAGGCAGTTATATTTGTTCCACTCATTTTTTCTACTGATATATCTGAATATTGCAGTCACTTGAACAACAATTCAATTGTTGGTCAACTTCCACCTGAGCTTTCCAATTTATCCAGACTTCTTCATTTGTGAGTTCATACAGATTTTGCTTTTATTATATATTCTCTGCTTCTTGTTCGGATGATTTGTAGTTCATTAACATATGCTTGCAGGCTTGTGGATAATAATAACTTGACTGGATCTCTCCCACCAGAATACTCAGAGTTGCCGACATTGCACATATTGTATGTTCCTCTGCCCCACATAGTCGTAATTTTTATTTTTACTTCATCTTCATTCCCATATATCGGCTTGATTGTATTTGCTTCTTTGATGGAAGGAATTTTAAACCCCATTAATGGAGTTAGGTGTACAGGCAACATGGTTTATCATATTGAAAATTCTTTTTTTCTCTCTGCAGTCAACTTGATAACAATAACTTTAGTGGGACAGAAATTCCAGCCACTTACGAAAACTTTTCCAGCTTATATAAATTGTAAGTGCTACTGAATACTGTTCACCTTTTGCACTGTTTTTACATTGTTCTACTGATAATTATGCATGTTGTTTGGCCTTTAGATCTAATATTTTTTTAAAAGACCTGTGATTGTTTAAATCTAGTCAGATGACCTCTTACTTGGATTTAGAAAGAAGACAGTACTGGGAATTAGTCTTGGAAGGAAAGAGAGATACACTCACCTCATTGAGGTTGCAATATCTTTGGCTGTTTGATGATGGATTGTAGATCAGTATACTTTAGTTACGAACTTGATTTTGAATAAATCAGATGTCCAAACCAACTTTTTTAAAAATTTAGATTGTTAATTTTGAACGCACATATAATGACCTTGCTTTAGTTGTCGTTTTATTTATCTATCGAATAATGACAATTAGCTAGTGGAAATACGGCCATTTGTTCAGAGAGTCTCTTTAAAGTATGTTTTTATGAAACATCAGAATGTTAGGTCCACATATTTACTTTAAATTCTATTCCTTTTTGTCTCTTTAATTGGTCATCTTTAGTATACCTAGAAATGTTACAGGAATCAATGATTCAACTCGATTTGGTAGAGGTCGCAAGTGTAACTTGTAAGGACTCCGAAAGAAGACATTCTATGAATTGATTATAAAAGCAGGATCTACTAAAAGTTAACTTCAGTCTGAGTTTGAAACCTGAAGTACCTCTGCAATGCTCAAATATTGGCCCTGGTTGATATTTGTTATACCTAAAAAAGTAGGGCTGACGCAAAGCCCTGTCAGCATAAGCAGTTAGAGCTTAGGTAAATCCTGTAGCCATTCAAATGCAGCCACATCATGTGCTGACATGAGCAGCATGCTCCTGCCAGTGCAGCGAGTGTGCGCTAGAATAACGAAAGGCTGAAGGTGCTCCACGTGTCTAATCCCTGCACACGTCTAGTAAATCACTTGAGCAAGTGAGCAACGGGACACAAGGAATGATTTGCACGGCAGCCTAACCCACTCCCAGATCCAGTAATCATTACTTTAATTTATCCCACTATGAATAGAGGGCTCCTCTCCCGTTTATGGGATTAGCTAATTTCTCTCTGGAATAACATACATGCTCTCTGTCTCTCTCTCTTGTAATCACTTGTCAGTCAACTCACTGAGCGCGACCTGACCTCATATATTAATACAATACCAATGGACATAGGATTCGCTTACTTAAGCATCCGAACCACTTTAAACATTGTTTCTCCATCTTTTACTCATTTCAATCCCACATACACGTATTTCTTCTGAGCCAGCTCACCATTTCCCACATGCGTTTAGTTGGTGTCAAAATCAGGCATCAACAATTTGGCGTTAGAAGAAGAGTCTGATTTAGTATTCATCATTCATCAGGAGAATCGCTGACTAATCGGTCCCATAATAGCAAATGGCTTGCTGATTCGAGTCTAAGCGAACCAATCATGGTAACGAAGAGATCCCCCAGGTATAAGAGGACATCTCTCCCGAGTTGCCCTCAGTCCCACAAAATACAGTGGGGGATATCCCTTCAAGCTCGCGACTTGACCCAACCATCATGAGTTTCCTGGAGAGGTTCGACAATACTCTCCAAACAGTCAACCAAAGGTTAGACCGGTTGGATCGGGTCACACCACCCGAATCAAATGATGCGGTGCTACCGCAAAAAACGCATGCAGGTCGCACGAAAGCGTGGAAAAGGGCAATAGCCCATGCCACGCGCACTGTAGCGTGTCAAAGAAAGGAAAAGCAAGTGGCGAACAACAGGCCTAGACGCTTCGAAGGGCCAGTGAACACCGACCGCGCCCCTGGTAGAAAACCTGTGGCATTAAGGCTCGGTGACATATCGTGACCTGAGTCATCACGTGCCATGTCACGCGAACACTCCCAGAAAAGTGCAAGGCAGGGAGATTCTCATTATCGCCGAAATGATGATTCCGATCATCGTGCAGGAAATTCCCACAATCCGCGGGTCAATTCGCAACACCGTAGAGGTCGAGAAAGCTCCCTGAATCATGTAGTGCCATCACACGGCTCTAACCAGTGTGTGTCTAGATTGGCCAGAATTGTCGACAGAGGAAAGGAGGAATCCGACCTACGGTCATTCGTCAACCATAACCATAAGGGTCGAACCTACGTTAAGGAAAGTGATCCATAGGTAGCTCCGCTACCTCAGATTGAGAAGCTGCAGCGAGCTCTAGATCAGCTAAAGGCTTAGCAAAATGAGCGAGGGTAGGTCCCAAAGGTGTCTCCCTTTTCTCCAGCAGTATTAGCCGCCCCTCTCCCATCAAGGTTCAAAATGCCTGATATGTAGGCGCTCGATGGAAATTCTGATCCGCAGGATCATTTGTATGAATTCAATGACCTGATGGAACTTCATCAAGTTTCTGACTTGGCAAAGTACCGTTGCTTGGTAGTAACTCTAATTGCACATGCTAAGCAATGGTTCAGGTCACTCCCAGCGGGATAGATCAGCTCATGGCCTTAGATGAGCCTGACGTTCCTGAGACACTTGCAAGCAAATAGAAAGTTTTCAATGCCTTTGAGCTACCTCAGCAACATAAGGCAAGAGAGGGATGAATCCCTCTAGTCTTACATTGACATATTCCACAGAGAGCTCCATAAAGTAGCACACACTCTCAAGCAATCTGTGCAGACTCTCATCATCGTGAGAGTTCGTCCGCAGACGGATCTGTGGAAAGAGCTACAGTCAGAGGATGATGTTTCCCTCACTTGCTTCTACAGTCTTGCGGAGAAATACTCCATATTGAGAATTCTATGGCGGCACTCCACCGCCACAACCTCGGCACTTCTGTACTGCACCTAGTCAGGGGGAAAACAGGAGGGCTGATAGCAAATGGGCTAATGACGATCAGCGAAAAGAAAAGAAACCAAAGTTTGAGCCCAAAAAATCTTATGCTCCAATTCCTCGTCACAATCGCAAATGGGCTAATGATGATCAGCGAAAAGAAAAGAAACCATTCTTGACAAATCAGAAGAGGCCGGCATGCTCGGAAAGCCTAAGCCCATGAAAAATCCCCCTTTAGCCAGAAACAGTAAAAAATATTATCGCTATCATCGGGATAATGGGCATCACACCGATGAGTGCGAAGCTCTCAAACAGGCAATCGAGGATCTTATCAAGCAGGGGCATTTCAAAGAGCATATTGATGACTCTGCTCCCTCGAGAGAGAAAAATCAGAAGGAACCGAGCAAGAAGCATCGTGGTCGTAAGGGTATTTACAGCGTAGGAGTTATATTTAGGGGACCACACCTCACAGGGAATTCACGAGGTGCCCAGGAAAGATATGCTCGCACGGCCCATCATGATCCCATCAGTGTGATGAACACAACGCAACGACCACTAAAGGTTTGCAGAGAGAAGGAAATCACCTTCTCTGAAAAAAACGCAGTTTGATTACATCATCCCCACGATGATGCCCTCGTCATTACACCACAAATAGGGTGTTGCGACGTCCATAGAATGTTGGTGGACAATGGAAGTGTTGTGAACATCCTGTTCTAACAAGCTTTCGAGAGAATGAAGTTGGATGAGGCCGACCTAAAGCCCGCCTCTATCCCCTTGTATGGTTTTACAAGAGATCACCTAATCCCCAAGGGAACGATCTCGCTTCCAGTCACGCTGGGTGACTCTAACAAGGTAACCAAGATCACTGAATTTTTAGTAGTAGACTGCCCGTCCGCTTTCAATGGCATCCTAGAGCGACCTCTACTAAGAAACTTTAAGGTGGTCACTTCGATCTACCATCTTAAGATGAAGTTTCCCACCCCGATGGGGATAGGGGAAGTAAGCGAATCTCAACGCGTATCTCGCAACTGCTATGTAAGGGCAGTGCAGATGGCGTGCAAAGGGAAAGGCATCCCATATGGTATTCCCGAGCAGGCAATGACAATTAGTCGGATCAAGCCACAGCCTGGTCGAGCTAAGGATAATATGGATCCTCGTATCCAGGAATGCCCTTCCAGTGGGCTAGTTGAGAATTTATCTGCAGTGTCGGTCGACCAGGGTGAGCCAAGTCGAGTCTTAAGGATTGGAAGCAATCTCAACCCCCAACTCGCCAATGACCTGACCAACTTTCTCAGAAAAAACATCGATGTGTTCGCATGGACGCATGCTGACATGGTTGGGATCAGCTTGGATGTCATTTGCCATGCCCTGAATATTGATAGTAAGGCCAGACTGGTCCGTCAGAAGAGAAGCGCGATGGATCTGGAGCGATATGCTGCCTTGAAAATTGAGGTAGATAATCTCCTTCAGAATAGATCTATCCAGGAGGCGCTCTACCCGAGCTGGGTTGCCAACCCAGTTCTAGTCAAGAAGTCCAACGGCAAATGGTGAACCTGTGTTGACTTCACTGACCTCAGCAAAGCATGCCCAAAAGATAGTTTTCCCCTACCAAGAATCAACCAGCTCGTGGATACCACCTCCGGGCACAAGCTGCTGAGCTTTATGTACGCATACTCGGGATACAATCAAATTCTGATGTATGCGTCGGACGAAGAGCATACCTCCTTTGTTATAGATCAGAGGCTATATTGCTACAGAGCCATGCCCTTCGACCTAAAGAATGCTGGCGCAACTTACCAGTGGCTGGTTAACCGAATGTTTTCCGAGTAGATTGGGAAGTCGATAGAAGTCTACGTTGATGACATGCTAGTCAAGTTACATGTCGCTTTAAATCACATAGAACATCTCGTTGAGATATTCGACATCCTCTGGAAGTACATAATGAAGCTAAACCCCTTAAATGTTCCTTCGGAGTTTTTTCGGGGAAATTCCTAGGCTATATGGTTAATAATAGGGGAATAGAGATTAACCGTGAGAAAATCTAAGCTCTCCTCGAGATGAAGAGCCCAACCAACTGAAAGCAAGTTTAGAGCCTCAATGGGCGAAGAGCGGTACTTGGTCGCTTTATATCAAGGGTAACAAATCGCTGCTTGTCGTTCTTCAACATCCTCAAGGCCAATAAAAAGTTTAAGTGGACTCCC